CAAGACCATCCCGAAGGTGCCCATCCCTGTTGGTAAGCGTACCACGTTTACGATGTTGTCCCCGATCTTGCCTGTCACAAGTCGCAACCGAGCCTGACCCTCTCCCATTCTTTGGCAGGTGTGGCGGTCCGTGCACAAGACAAAGGGTGGATGGACGAAGCACTTGTGCAGGACTGGATCACCCAAGTGATGGTGCCATTTCTGAAGCCCCTGCGTGAAACAACAGGACGCCGTAGAGACGCCTTGGTTGTGCTCGACTCCTACCGCGGCCACTTGACCGAGGCGGTCGGGCAGACAATGCGGATGTTTTGGCTGTCCCGAGCTGTCATCCCTGTGAGAAAAGTACGAGCGAATGAATTGACTAGGAAACAGGTGGGTACAAGTAGAAAACCTAAAAGTGTTGCACCCCATATTATCTACCCCACTACAGCATATAAGTTTGACACACCCCCATAGGCGAAGTGGGGGAGAACAAGAGGTCACAAGACCAGTCAAGAAGAACAAAGGAGGCTCGGGGTGGATCACGACGTCACCACACATTCCGAGCACAAGCAAACGGCCACAAGGCCAGTTCACATGGACAGTTATATAAGGTAGAACAAACAAGACAGTGATCACAACCTAGCAAGTGTAAGCATGCAGGTATATATATAGAGATCAAAGTACAAGCGAAGTTACGAAGTGAGCAAGTGAGGCCAAGGTAGGCACAAGGCCTAGAACAGTACAGAACCGCTGATGATATCAGCCGTGTTGGCCTGAGAGGCCACATAAACAAGACGAAGCTGACCACGCTGCTGCAACTCTCGAGCAAGAAAGTAGCGAAGAGCGATGTGCTTCGTTCTGTGCTCCAGTCTCTGCTCGCGACACAAGGCAAGCATTGCCTTGTTGTCGACGTACAGAACTGGAGAAGAACGAGGCGCCTTGCCCAGGTCAGTTAGCAGATAGGTGAGCAAGCGTAGCTCCTGTGCAGCCATGGCCCCTGCGTAGATCTCAGCCTCACAGCTGGAGCTGAGAACAGAAGACGAGCGGGTAGACCACCATGAGACAGAACCGGAGCCAAGGCTGAAGGTGTAACCCTGTGACGACCGCTGCGTAGCCAAGTCGTCAACCCAAGAAGCGTCTGCGTGACCAGTGAGAACTGTCAGAACATTATAGCTCATGCATATTGTGTAGGCTATAGTGGGTTAGCCCATAAGGGGTACAACCCAATTAGGGTTAGTACTTGTACCCAATTCATTCATAGATCATTCATTCTCGTTTCAATTCTCTCATGGTATCGAGCAGGTTCCCTCGTGGGAACTGTTCCTAGGGCCCACCAATTCGATTTTTTTTTCCTGCCCGGAGCGCGCTTAGCCCTAGCCCGAGTCGCGCTCCCCCTTTTTCCTCGCCCCGTCGCGCTGCCCTAGCGGCCCTGTCGCCTGCCTTGCGGCCCTCGCGCCGCCCTTCCTGGCCCCGACCCGCCGCCCGGCGGCCTCGTCGCCTACCCCGCGGCCATCGTGCCGCCCTTTCCCGGCCCCGATCCGCCGCCCTGCGGCCTCGTCGCCCACCCAGCGGCCCTCGCGCCGCCCTGCGGCCCTGACGCCGCCCTTACCGGCGCCTACCTGCTGGCCCCCGCCACCTACCTGCGGCCCCGCCACCTACCAGCAGCCCCGCCACCTACCCGCGACCCCGCCACCTACCTGTGCGGCCCCGCCACCTACCTGCGGCCCCGCCACCTACCAACGGCCCCGCCACCTACCCGCGGCCCCGCCACCTACCTGTGCGTCCCCGCCACCTACCTGCGGCCCCGCCTCGTACCAGCGGCCCCGCCACCTTCCTGCGGCCCCGCCACCTACCCGCGGCCCCGCCACCTACTTGTGCGGCCTCGGCGCCTACCTGCGGCCCCGCCACCTACCTGCGGCCCCGCCACCTATCAGCGGCCCCGCCACCTACCTTTGCGGTCCCGCCGCCTCCTCTCAGCGGCCCCACCGCCTCCTCCCAGCGGCCCCGGACGCCGCCCTCTCAGCGGCCCCGCCGAGCCGCCCAGCAGCAGAGCCGCCCAGCAGCCGAGCCGCCCAGCAGCCGAGCCGCCCAGCAGCCGAGCCGCCCAGCAGCCGAGCCGCCCAGCCGCCGAGCCGCCCAGCAGCCGAGCTGCCCAGCAGCCGAGCAGCCGAGCCGCCGAGCCGCCCAGCAGCCGAGCCGCCAAACCGCCCAGCAGCCGAGCCGCCGAGCCGCCCAGCAGCCGAGCCGCCGAGCCGCCCAGCAGCCGAGCCGCCGAGTCGCCCAGCTCCCGAGCCGCCGAGTCGCCCTGCAGGCGAGCCGCCCGAGCCGCCCTGTGCGGTAAGAGCAGCGCCTCTTTCACAGCACTGCCCTCACCCTACTGTTTGCGCTGCTAGTCTACTGCTGTCATGGCTACCCCTAGTGTCCTCGCTTTTGACGCTGAGGGTCAGGCCATTGACTTTGACGTCTGGATAGATGACCTGCAGCTTTTCTTACAGTGTGATAGGGCAGACGGCCTCTCCCTCTTTGACCTCACTTCTGGTGCCTCTCCTGCCCCCGCTGCTGATGCTGACGCCACTGTTCGCTCACAGTGGGCCACGCGCGATGCTGCTGCACGTCTTGCCGTGCGTCGCCACCTACCTACCTCTGAGCGTGCTCAGACCTTGTACGACGCTGTATTTGCACGCTACTCCTCCCCTGCCACTGCTGCACTGAGCCGCCTCATGCTACCCGTACCTCTTCCCTGACCTTGCTGCCTTTCCCACAGTCGGTGACCTCATTACGCACCTCCGCACTAGTGACACTCGCTACCGCGCTGCGCATCCTGCTGAGTTCTGCGCCAAGAACCCCCCCCCCCCATGTACATCACCCTCTACTACATAGTCACCCGTCTCCCTGACTCCCTTCGCGTAGTCAAGGACCACTTCCTCTCAATTTGCCCCACCACTCTCACCGTTGACCTCCTCGAGAAGGACCTCCTAGCAGTAGAAAAGAGCATAGTAGCTGTAGGAGCCTCTCGTGGTGACCCTCGCACCCCCATCTTTGAGGGGTGTTCCCCCTCCCCTCTTTTGCCCTTTGCTGCCTCTACTGCTGCGGCCGACCTCGTTGGTCTGGAGTCGGTCGGTGTGGCGTCTACCCCTAGTGGGAAGCGTCGCTCTGGCAAGGGCAAGGGGGGCAGAGGCGCTGGAGGAGCTAGCGGGGGCGGTGGAGGCGGCGGTGGAGGCAGTGGAGGGGGTGGGGGTGGTGGTGGGAGTGGTGGCAGGGGTGGAGGTGTCGGTGGCAGCAGTGGAGGCGGAGGCGGCGGCGGCGGTGGCGGTGGGAGCGGAGGTGGTGGAGGTGGCGGAGGTGGAGGAGGCAGTGGCGGAGGCGGAGGAGGAGGAGGTTGTGGCTCTTCGCAGAGGAGTGGCTCCGGTGGTGGTCAGCGCCAGCAGCAGCAGCGCAGTCGGGAGACCCTGTCCCCTCAGCAGCTTCGTGAGTGGTACGCTGCACGCCAGCGGGGTTGGGGTACTGGTCCGTGCACCTACGTCCTGCGCACCGGCGACCGTGCGGGTGAGCAGTGTGGGGGTGCGCACCCCACCCAGCGCTGCTTTGGCCGTCTGACGGACGCTTGGCGTCACCAGTTCCCTGAGGCCACTGAGATCCCTTGCTGGGGCGAGCTGTCTAAGGCAGGGGTAGCTATCTTTGACCTTGACTTTGATGCTATTCTTGCTGCTATGTATACTGTGTCTATTAGTGAGGAGGGTGACTGTTACCGGTGTTTCCCGCCCGACCCGGGCATTGAGACTGCTGCTCTAGGTGCTGGTGAGGCTGCTGCTCTTGGTGCTAGCGAGGCTGCTGCTCTAGGTGCTAGTGCGTCTGCTTCCTCCGGTACTGGTGAGTCTGCGCTCTCAGGTACTGCGTTGGCTTCGGCCTCCCACACCTTCACACTTGACTCGGGGGCTTCTCACTCCTTCTTTCGAGACCGCACCACACTCACGCCGCTAGGTCGGCCAGTTGCAGTCTCCCTGGCAGACCCCTCTGGGGGTCCTGTCCTTGCTCACTTCTCCACTGTCCTCCCGTGTCCGGCGGCCCCCTCTGGCACCCTGTCTGGTCTTTACGTGCCCTCGTTCTCTACGAACTTGGTGAGTGGTGCTGACCTACAGGATGCGGGGGTTCACCAGTTCACTCCTGCGAGTCAGCGGGTGACCCACTGCACGGACGCTCGGACAGGCCGACACCTGGCCACGTTTACACGTCGGCCGGGGTCGAGCCTGTACACACTGACCACTGCGTCTCCTCCAGTCCCTGCGTCTGCTCAGGTAGCTGCGTTGGGTCAGGTGTTAGCTGCAGCGTCCAGGTCTGGTCCTGAGTCTGCCCCCTGCTCGTCTCGCCTCCTGTCTCACGAGACTCTCCTCTGGCACCACCGCCTTGGTCACCCCTCCCTGCTTCGTCTCCGAAGCATGGCCTCCCGTGTCCTTGTCTCTGGTCTTCCCCGGTCCCTCCCTCCCCTTCCTCTGGGGCCTGGCCCTACCTGCGTCCCCTGTGTCGAGGGACAGCAGCGGGCTACCCCTCACTCCTCCCAGTTTCCTCCGATAGAGGCCCCGCTGCAGACGCTTCACATGGACGTGTGGGGCCCAGCCCGCGTCCGTGGACAGGGTCACGAGCGCTACTTCCTGCTGGTGGTTGACGACTACTCGCGTTACACCACAGTCTTCCCCTTGCGCAGCAAGGGTGATGTCACTGAGGTGTTGATCGACTAATTGGGCTGTACCCCTTATGGGCTACCCCACTATAGCCTACACAATATGCATGAGCTATAATGTTCTGACACACCCCCATAGGCAAAGTGGGGGAGAACAAGGGGTCACAAGACCAGCCAAGCAAAGCAAAGCAAAGCAAGCTCAGGGTGGATCACAAAGTCACCACACAGTCTGAGCACAAGGTCAAGGCCACAAGGCCAGTTCTCAAGAAAGAGTACACACATATGTATAAAGCTGGACAAGCAAGAGAAGGTATACATATATGTGAGAGTACAAGCAAGGTTAAGAGGAGAGCAAGTGAGGCAAGACGGGCACAAGACCCAGCTGAGTGCAGAAGCGCTGATGATCACAAGGCGCAAGTGCCTTGGTGAAGACATCAGCAGTGTTGGCCTCAGAGGCCACGTACGCAAGCCGCAACTGTCCACGCTGCCGTAGCTCACGAGCAAGGAAGTAGCGGAGAGCAATGTGCTTCGTTCTGTGCTTCAGTCGCTGCTCTCGACACAAGGCCAGCATGGCCTTGTTGTCTACGTACAGGACTGGAGGAGAACGAGGCGGCTCTCCAAGGTCGGTCAGCAGGTAGGTGAGCCAGCGAAGCTCCTGTGCATCCATGGCCCCGGCGTAGATCTCAGCCTCACAACTGGAGCCGAGAACAGAAGACGAGCGAGTAGCCCGCCACGAAACAGAGCCGGAACCAAGGCTGAAGGTGTAACCCTGTGACGACCGCTGCGTAGCCTGGTCGTCAGCCCAAGAAGCGTCCGCGTGCCCAGTAAGGACCACTGGACTCCGCCCTCCAAGCACTAGCCCCATGCCCGACGTACTGCACAAGTAGCGCAACACCCTCTTCGCTGCAGCCATGTGCTCTGGTCGGTGTCTCCCAGGAGCAACATAGCGTGCGAGAATGCTAAGAGGGTATGCAAGGTCAGGACGTGTGCAGGTCATCAGGTACATGAGACAGCCAACAAGCTCTGGGTACGGGCCACTCGACTCTACGGACTCATCCGAAGGCAGAGCTGAGAGCGAGTGGCGAGTAGGCAGAGGAGTGGCCTGAGGCGAGGAGTACGTGAAGCCGAAGCGCTGAAGGACCTACTGCACCATGTGTGACTGAGTCAGGGTAATGGTGCGGCGTGCTCTGTCCCGGGTGATCTGCAAGCCAAGGTAGCTGCGTAGTTCACCCAGGTCTGTGCACGTGTGTCTCTTCTGCAGCTCGGACTTCACGTAGGCGAGTCCAGCAGTGTCAGCTGTGGCGAAGACCAAGTCGTCGACGTACACGAGGATGTAGAACGGCGGCAGAGAGGTGTCGGTGCGCAGAAACAGCGACGGGTCAGCATTAGAAGGAGCAAACCTAAGAGCCGCAAGCGTAGTCCTCAGTGTGTCGTGCCACTCACGTGGCGCCTGGCGGAGACCGTAGACTGGACGCCGGAGACTCCATTGGGTACCAGGAGGGAAAGACCCAGTGAAGCCAGGAGGGCGACGCAGCCAGATCTCCTCGTGCAGGCTGCCCTGCAAGAAAGCTGTGCTGAAGTCGAGAGAGTGCAGCTCGTAGTCACGGTGAGCAGCAACGTGCAGCAGTACCCGAAGAGTGGTCATCTTCGGGGTGGGGGAGAAGGTATGAAAGTAGTCAACTCCCTGCCGCTGACTGAAGCCACGAGCCACGTAACGCGCCTTGAAGACAGGCGGAGAACCCGGCGGCCGCTTCACCCTGAAGATCCACATGCCACTGACGATGTTCGCCCCAGGAGGGGGGACAGCGTCAACGTAGGTGCCTGTGGACTTCCAGGAAGCCATCTCTGCATCCATAGCTGCCTGCCACTGAGAGGAGTAGGGACCCTCTATCGCCTCCGCGTAAGAGCGCGGAGTCGGGATGTAAAGTGCATCCGGGTCTCCCTCAGGGGTAAGCAGTACGGACACGAGATGAGGTGAAGCAACTGCCAAACACTGGAACTCCTCCTGCCTGTCCTCAAGGACGTCCGTGCCAAGGGCACACTCACCCTCAATGGACGGAGGACAGACAGACTCATACTCAGCGACAAGACTTGCAGCGTAGTCTAAGCGACAGCGAGCAGCAAAGTCGAAGAGCTCAGCAACTAGAGCAGACCCAGCAGTAGACTCAAAAGAAGGGTCAGTGATGACAGTAGCAAGGAGACGCATGACAGTAGGACTGGCAGCAGGAAGAGAGTCCGACTCAGGGTCGGGAAGAGCAGGAAGAGAGGACTCAGGAGGAGAAGGCAAAGGGGCACGCAGAGGAGCAGTGCACGGACGCAGAGACATCCGGTGCGTACCAAGGACAGGAGGAGGACGCTCACGCGAACTACGACTACTAGCGCGAGCAGGACGGAAAGGCAACGTAGGGCAAGACGCAGGCTCACGATGCTCAGCAAGACCTTTAGTAGGACCAGTGTAGGGAGAAGGAGCAGGCAAAGGGGAGGTAGGCTGCAGCTGAAACTGTGGCTGGACAGGCTGCAGACACTCTAAGGGAGGAGGAGGACCAGCAGAAGGTGGAAGACCAAGAACCTGCTGCAGGAGTGGAACGAAGTACGATCGAGGCCGCGTGGCGACGCCAGAAGCAGCAGGGACAGCACCAGTACCCTCAGTAGGAGCACCGGGTCCAGCAGCAACTCCAGCAGCTCCAAAACCTCCAGCAGCACCAGGAGCACCTCCAGCAGGACCGCCAGCGGCAGTCTCAGCGCCAACAGCTCCAGTACTACTAGTACGAGCACCTCCGGGACGTGCGACCGCAGCACCCTCAGCAGCCGAAGAACCTCCGGCACCAGCAGCACGACGCCAGCACCCTCGCGCAGCTCCTGTGGAGAGAGTGGCTCCCGGCGAGACGAAGCACCCGGAGAACCTCCAGGTGGAGCACCTCCACACGCAGTACCCCCAGGCGTAGCACCCCCAGGCTCAGCACCCCCCGGCTCAGTAAGCCCTGGCTCAGCACCCCCAGACGTAGTACCCCCAGGCTCAGCACCCCCAGGCTCAACACCCCCAGACGCAGCACCCCCAGGCCCCGCACCCCCAGGTCCAGCAGCCCCAGGCTCAACACCCCCAGCGGCAGCACCCTCAGCAGCACCAGAGTCACCAGTGACCTCGACAGGCTCGACTGCGTCTACCTGGGACACACCTGAAGGGGCAGGACCCTGAGGGGGCAGGGGGTCTACCTGAGGGGGACCTGGTACCAGGAAGAGTGGGGGTGGGGGGAGGGACGGAGTGCGGTAGGGGAAGAGGCGGTAGTAGGGGACCGACTCGTCAAACGTGACGTCCTCGGAGGACAGAACACGGCGAGAGGTGGGGTGGTAGAACTGCCACCCAGGCGCGTCGGGGGGGAACCCCAGGAAGACGAAAGGAGCAGCACGAGGGGACAGCTTCTCCGCAGACAAGTCGCGGACAAACGCCCGAGATCCCCAGACCCGGAACGCCGACGCATCGCCAACCTTCCCCGTTCACAGCAGGGCTGGGGAGGTCTCCGGCCTGGAGACCCTAGGGTGGAGGTTGAGCTGATGCGCCGCGTACCTGACCGCAAACGGCCACAGAAAATGGGGGGCAGCCGCATGCATCATAGACGTACGAGCGACGTCCATGACCATGCCAATGCGGCGCTCAGCAATCCCATTTTGCTGCGGTGAGTCCGGAAGCGTGAAGGTCTGACGGATGCCTCGTGCACGACAGAAGGCTCGCAGAAGGCCGAAGGAAAACTCTCCGCCTCTGTCCGAGTGCAGATGCAAAACAGGAAAGTCCGAGCCAAAGCGCTGCCTAAGCTGAAGACGAGCTGCGCGGATCCAGTCGATCAACACCTCAGTGACATCACCCTTGCTGCGCAAGGGGAAGACTGTGGTGTAACGTGAGTAGTCGTCAACAACGAGCAGAAAGTAGCGCTCGTGACCCTGTCCACGGACACGGGCTGGGCCCCACACGTCCATGTGAAGCGTCTGCAACGGGGCCTCTGTTGGAGGAAACTGGGAGGAGTGGGGGGCAGCCCGCTGGCGCCCCTCGACACAGGGGACACAGGCAGGGCCAGGGCTCTGAGGAAGGGGAGGGAGGGACCGGGGGAGACCAGACACAAGAAGACGGGAGGCCATGCCTCTGAGCCGAAGCAGAGAGGGGTGGCCAAGGCGGTGGTGCAAGAGGAGAGTCTCGTGAGACAGGAGACGACACGAACAGGGGGCAGACTCAGGACCAGACCTGGACGCCGCAGCAAACACCTGACTCGACGCAGCTACCCTACCAGACTCAGCAACTTGAGGGGACGCAGTGGTCAGTGTGTACAGGCTCGACCCCGGCTGACGGGTAAACGTAGCCAGGTGCCGGCCTGTGCTAGCCTCAGTACAGTGCGTCACCCGCTGATGCGCAGGAGTGAACTTGTGTACTCCCCCATCCTGTAGGTCAGCACCACTCACCAGGTTCGTCAAGAACGAGGGGAGGTAGAGACCAGACAGGGTGCCAGAGGGAGCCGCCGGACAAGGGAGGACTGTGGAGAAGCGAGACAGGACAGGACCCCCAGAGGGGTCAGCCAGAGACACCGCAACCGGCCGACTAAGCGGCGTGAGTGTGGTGCGGTCTCGAAAGAAGGAGCGAGACGCCCCAGAGTCAAGGGTGAAGGTGAGGGAGGCCGAAGCCGACGCAGTACCTGAGAGCGCAGACTCACCAGTACCTGAGGACGCAGACACACCAGCACCTAGAGCAGCAGCGTCGCACGCACCTAGGGCAGCAGCCGTACCAGTACCTAGAGTAGCAGTCTCAATGCCCGGATCGGGCGGGAAACATCGGTAACAGTCACCCTCATCACTAATAGACACAGCATACATGGCAGAAAGAGTAGCATCAAAGTGAAGATCAAAGATGGCCACACCCGCCCTAGACAGCTCGCCCCAGCGAGGGATCTCTGAGGCCTCCGGGAACTGATGACGCCACGCGTCCGTCAGGCGGCCAAAGCAGCGCTGGGTGGGGTGCGCACCCCCACACTGCTCACCCACACGGTCGCTGGTGCGCAGGACGTAGGTGCACGGACCAAAATCCCCACCCCGCTGGCGTGCAGTGTACCACTCACAGAGCTGCTGAGGTGACAGGGTCTCACGACCGCGCTGCTGCTGCTGGCGCGAGCCACCACCGGAGCCACTCCTCTGCGACGACCCGCGACCAGCTCCACCGCCACACCCACCTCCTCCGCCTCCTCCGCTGCCTCCACCACTGCCGCCGCCTCCGCCGCCGCCTCCACCGCCGCCTCCTCCGCCACCTCCGCTCCCACCGCCACCGCCGCCGCCGCCTCCGCCTCCACTTCCGCCACCGACCCCTCCACCCCCACCTCCACTCCCACCGCCACCCCCACTCCCCCCACCGCCTCCACCTCCACCTCCACCGCCCGCTCCTCCAGCTCCCTTGCCCCCCTTGCCCTTGCCAGGGCGGCGTCTCCTGCTAGGGGCAGACGCCGCGTCGACTGACTCAAGACCAAGGAGGTCGGCCGCAGCAGCAGAGGCAACAGAGGGCAGCAGGGGGGAGGGAGAACACCCCTCAAAGATGGGGGTGCGTGGGTCACCTCGAGAGGCTCCTACAGCGACGATGCTCTTCTCTATCGCTAGGAGGGCCTTTTCGAGGAGGTCTACGGTGAGCGTGGTGGGACAGACTGAGAGAAAGTGGTCCCTGACTACGCGAAGGGAATCAGGGAGGCGAGTGACTAGGAAGTACAGAGTGATGTACATGGGGGGGGGGTTCGCGGCGCAGAAGTCAGCAGGGAGTGCAGCGCGGTAGCGAGTGTCACTAGTGCAGAGGTGCGTGATGAGGTCAGCTACGTTGGGAAAAGCAGCATGGTCAGGGAAGAGGTACGGCATCATGAGACGGCTCAGTGCAGCAGTGGCAGGGGAGGAGTAGCGCGCGACTACAGCGTCGTACAAGGTCTGAGCACTCTTGTACTGGCTAAAGTGCGCACGCTCGGAGGTAGGGAGGTGGCGACGCACAGCAAGACGTGCAGCAGCGTCGCGCGTGGCCCACTGGGAGCGAACAGTGGCGTCAGCATTAGCAGCAGGGGCAGGGGAAGCGCTAGAGGTAAGGTCAAAGAGAGAGAGGCCGTCTGCCCTATCGCACTGTAGGAACAGCTGCAGGTCGTCGACCCAGACCTCAAAGTCTACGGCTCGTCCCTCAGCGTCAAACGTGAGGACACTAGGGGTAGCCATGACTACAGATGACGAGCATTGTAAACAGTAGGGGAGGGAGGGCCGTGCAGGGGCAGAAGGCACTGTGCTCACTAGACAGGGCAGCCTGACGGTCCAGCTGCTGGGCGGCTCGGTGGCAGAGCGGCTCGGCGGCGGGGCGGCTCGGCGGCAGGGCGGCTCAGCTTCCGGGCGGCTCGGCGGCAGGGCGGCTCGGCGGCAGGGCGGCTCGGCTTCCGGGCGGCTCGGCGGCAGGGCGGCTCGGCGGCTGGGCGGCTCGGCTTCCTGGCGGCTCGGCGGCAGGGCGGCTCTCGTCCAGGGCGGCGCGGCGGCGCTCTCGTGTAGGTATGGCGGCGGGTGAGCCGTAGTTAGGGCGGCGGGTGCGCCGCAGGTAGGTCGGCGGGTAGCCGCAGGTAGGGCGGCGGGTGGCCGCAGGTAGGGCGGCGGGTAGGGCCGCAGGTAGGTCTGTGGAGGGCCGTAGGTAAGGGCGGCGACGGGCCGTAGGTAAGGGCGGCGCCGGGCCGTAGGTAAGGGCGGCAACGGGCCGTAGGTAGGGCGGCGACGGGCTGTAGGTAAGGGCGGCGACGAGCCGGTGCAAGGGCGGCGCGAAGCCGCGGGTAAGGGCGGCGACGGGCCGGGGCGGCGCGAAGCCGCAGGTAAGGGCGGCGACGGGCCGGGGCGGCTCGAAGCCGCAGGCAGAGGCGGCGCGAAGCCGCGGAAAAGGGCGGCGACGGGCCTGGGCGACGCGAGGCCGCAGGTAGGGGCGGCGCGAAGCCGCCGGTGAGGGCGGCGCAAAGCCGCGGGTAAGGGCGGCGACGGGCCGGGAAAAAAGCGGCGCGCCGCAGCCGCTAGGGCGGCTCGACGCGACCGTAAGGGCGGCGCGACGGGCTGCTAGGTGTGACTCGACGGGCCGCTCTAAAAAAAAAGGCAGGCGCGACTCGAGGCGCGCTTCGGTGGGCCCAAGGAACAGTCCCTAGGAGGGGACCTGCTCTGATACCATGTTAAAATGAGAACGAGAATGCATCAAATATGAATGAAGTGGGTACATATAGGAAACCCTAAATGGGTTGCACCCCCTATGGGATACCCCACTATAGCCTACACAACAGCATAAGCTATAATGTTCTGACACGGGAAGGTTGGCGATGCGTCTGCGTTCCGTGTCTGGGGATCTCGGGCGTTTGTCCGCGACTTGTCTGCGGACAAGCTGTCCCCTCGTGCTGCTCCTTGCGTCTTCCTGGGTTTCCCCCCTGACGCGCCAGGGTGGCAGTTCTACCACCCCACCTCTCGCCGTGTTCTGTCCTCCCAGGACGTCACGTTCGACGAGTCAGTCCCCTACTACCGTCTCTTCCCCTACCGCACTCCGTCCGCCCCCCCCGCCACCGCTCTTCCTTGTGCCAGGTCCCCCCCCAGTAGACCCCCTCCCCCCTCAGGGTCCTGCCCCTTCAGGTGTGTCCCAGGTAGACGCAGTCGAGCCTGTCGAGGTCGCTGGTGACTCTGGTGCTGCTGAGGGTGCTGAGCCTGGGGGTGCTGAGCGTGTGGGTGCTACGCCTGGGGGTGCTGAGCCTGAGGGTACTACGACTGGGGGTGCTGAGCCTGGGGGTGCTGAGTCTGGGGGTGCTGAGCTTGGGGGTGCTACGCCTGGGGGTGCTAAGCCTGGGGGTGCTGAGCCTAGGGGTGCTACGCCTGGAGGTGCTGAGCCTGGGGGTGCGGAGCCTGAGGGAGCTGGGCCTGCTGGTGCTGTGCCTGACGGTTCTCCGAGTGCTTCTTCTCGCCGGGAGCCACTCTCTCCACAGGAGCTGCGTGAGTGGTTTGCCCGGCGCTGGAGGCGAGCTGCTGGAGCTGGAGGTGCTGCGGGTACTGGAGGTTCTGTTGCTGTTGAGGAGCTGGTGCCACGGGTCCGGGAGGTGCTCGTACTGGGAGTACTGGAGCTGCTAAACATGCGGGTACTTCTGGAGCTGGAGCTGCTGCGGGTCTTGGCGCGGAGGCTACTGCTGTCGGTCCTTGAGGCGGTCCTGCTGGGGGTACTACTGGTGCTGCTGGAGGTACTGGAGCTGGAGCTGCTACTTGTGCTGGTGCTGCCACTGGGGTTGCTGGTGCTGTCCCTGCTGTGTCAAGAGTTGCCGCACGGCCTCAGCCGTACTTTGTTCCGCTCCTTCAGCAGGTTCTTGGTCTCCTGTCTTCTACTGGTCCTCCTCCTCCCTTAGAGTATCCACAGCCTGTCCCGTCGCAGTTACAGTTACAGCCGGCCTCCCCACTGCCTGCTCCCTCTCCCTACACTGGTCCTACTGGAGGTCTTGCTGAGCATCGTGAGCCTGCGTCTCGCCCTGCGTCGCCTGTCCGTGCTGCTCGCACTAGTGGTCGCGGTTCGCGTCAGCGTCCTCCTCCTGTCCCTGGCATGCACCGGATGTCTCTGCGTCCGTCCACTGCTGCGTCTGCCCTAGTTGCTGAGCTCGTCGACTTTCCTACTCGCTGTCGCCTAGACTACGCCGCCAGTCTTGTTGCTGACCCTGAGTCTGTCTGTCCTCCGTCCGTCGGGGGTGAGTGTGCCCTTGGCACGGACGTCCTCGAGGACAAGCAGGAGGAGTTTCAGTGCTTGGCCGCAGCCTCACCTCATCTCGTGTCCGTACTGCTTACCCCTGAGGGAGACCCGGATGCACTTGACATCCCGACTCCGCGCTCTTACGCGGAGGCGATAGAGGGTCCCTACTCCTCTCAGTGGCAGGCAGCTATGGACGCAGAGATGGCTTCCTGGAAGTTCACAGGCTCCTACGTTGACGGTGTTCCCCCTCCTGGGGCGAACATCGTCAGTGGCATGTGGATTTTTAGGGTGAAGCGACCGCCGGGTTCTCCGCCTGTCTTCAAGGCGCGTTACGTGGCTCGTGGCTTTTGTCAGCGGCAGGGAGTTGACTACTTTCAGACCTTCTCTCCCACCCCGAAGATGACCACTCTTCGGTTACTGCTGCACATAGCTGCTCACCGTGACTACGAGCTACACTCTCTTGACTTCAGCACTGCTTTCTTGCAGGGCAGCCTGCACGAGGAGATCTGGCTGCGTCGCCCACCTGGCTTCATTGGGTCTTTTCCTCCTGGCACCCAGTGGAGCCTCCGGCGGCCAGTCTACGGTCTCCGCCAGGCACCGCGTGAGTGGCACGACACACTGAGGACTACACTTGCGGCTCTTGGGTTTGCTCCCTCTATTGCCGACCCGTCGCTGTTTCTGCGCACGGACACTTCTTTGCCGCCGTTCTACATCCTCATGTACGTCGACGACTTGGTCTTTGCCACAGCTGACACTGCTGGACTCGCCCACGTGAAGTCCGAGTTGCAGAAAAGACACACGTGCACTGACCTGGGTGAACTGCGCAGCTACCTTGGCTTGCAAATCACTCGGGACAGAGCACGCCGCACCATTACCCTGACTCAGTCACACATGGTGCAGCAGGTCCTTCAGCGCTTCGGCTTCACGTACTCCTCGCCTCAGGCCACTCCTCTGCCTACTCGCCACTCGCTCTCAGCTCTGCCTTTGGATGAGTCCGTAGAGTCGAGTGGCCCGTACGCAGAGCTTGTTGGCTGCCTCATGTACCCGATGACCTGCACACAACCTGACCTTGCATACCCTCTTAGCATTCTCGCACGCTATGTTGCTCCTAGGAGACACAGACCGGAGCACATGGCTGCAGCGAAGAGGGTGTTGCGCTACTTGTGCAGTACAACGAGCATGGGACTTGTGCTTGGAGGGCAGGGTCCAGTGGTCCTTACTGGGCACGCAGACGCTTCTTGGGTTGACGACCGGGCTACGCAGCGGTCGTCACAGGGTTGCATCTTCAGCCTTGGTTCCGGCTCTGTTTCGTGGCGGGCTACTCGCTCGTCTTCTGTTTCCGGCTCCAGTTGTGAGGCTGAGATCTACGCAGGAGCCATGGCTGCACAGGAGCTTTGCTGGCTCACCTACCTGCTAACTGACCTCGGAGAGCCGCCTCGTTCTCCTCCAGTGCTGTACGTAGACAACAAGGCCATGCTGGCCTTGTGTCGGGAGCAGCGACTGGAGCACAGAACGAAGCACATTGCTCTCCGCTACTTTCTTGCTCGTGAGCTGCAGCAGCGTGGTCAGCTGCGTCTTGCGTACGTGGCCTCTGAGGCCAACACTGCTGATATCTTCGCCAAGGCGCTTGCGCCTTGTGACCATCAGCGCTTCTGTACTCAGCTGGGCCTTGTGCCTACCTTGCCTCACTTGCTCACCTCTTGACCTTGCTTATACTGTTACATATATATATACCTGCTCTTGCTTGTCTAGCCCTTTTTATATATATGTACTTCTGCATGTGAACTGGCCTTGTGGCCTTGAACTTGTGCTCGGAATGTGTGGTGACTTTGTGATCCACCCTGAGCTTGCTTTGCTTTGCTTTGCTTGACTGGTCTTGTGACCCCTTGTTCTCCCCCACTTTGCCTATGGGGGTGTGTCAGAACATTATAGCTCATGCATATTGTGTAGGCTATAGTGGGGTAGCCCATAAGGGGTACAGCCCAATTAGGGTCAGTACTTGTACCCGATTCATTCATAGTTCATTCATTCTGGTTTCAATTCTTTCAAGAACAACTGGACCCCGTCCCCCAAGGACGAGCCCCATGCTCAGCGTACTGCACAAGTAGCGCATCACCCTCTTAGCTGCCTTCCAATGCTCTCGTCGGTGTCTCCCGGGCGCAACGTAGTGTGCTAGGATGCTAAGAGGGTAAGCAAGGTCAGGACGAGTGCAGGTCATCAGGTACATGAGGCAGCCCACAAGCTCTGGATATGGGCCACTTGGCTCTACGGACTCATCCGAAGGCAGAGCTGAGAGCGAGTGACCAGTAGGCAGAGGAGTGGACTGTGGCGAGGAAACTAGAAGTCGAAGCACTGAAGGACCTGCTGCACCATGTGTGACTGAGTCATGGAGATGGTGCGGCGTGCTCTGTCCCGGGTGATCTGCAAGCCAAGGTAGCTGCGCAGCTCACCCAGGTCTGTGCACGTGTGTCTCTTCTGCAGCTCTGGCTTCACTAGAGTCAGTGCCTTAGTGTCAGCAGTGGCAAAAACCAAGTGGTCGACGTACACGAGGATGTAGAACGGCGGCAGCGAAGTGTTGATGCGTAGAAACAGCGACGGGTCAGCAGTAGAAGGAGCAAATCCAAGAGCCGCAAGAGTCGTCCTCAGTGTGTCGTGCCACTCGCGAGGCGCCTGGCGGAGACCTTAGACTGGTTGTCGGAGGCTCCACTGGATACCTGGAGGGTACGACCTAGTGAAGCCAGGTGGGCGGCGCAGCAAGATCTCCTCGTGCAGGCTGCCCTGTAGGAAGGCTGTGCTGAACTCAAGAGAGTGAAGCTCGTAGTCACGCTGAGCAGCGACGTGCAGTAGTACCCGAAGAGTGGTTATCTTTGGGGTGGGAGAGAAGGTCTGAAAGTAGTCAACTCCCTGGTCCTGACTGAAGCCTCGAGCCACGTAACGCGCCTTGAAGACAGGTGGAGAACCCGGCGGCAGCTTCACCCTGAAAATCCACATGCCATCGACAATGGTCGCCCCAGGTGGGGGAACCTCGTCAACGTAGGTGCCTGTGGACTTCCACGAAGCCATCTCTGCGTCCATGGTTGTCTGCCACTCAGAGGAATAGGGACCCTCAACCGCCTCTGCGTAAGAGCACGGAGTCGGAATGTCTGGTGCATCCGGGTCTTCCTCAGGGGCAAGCAGCATGGACACAAGATGAGGCAAAGCAGCAGCAAAACACTGGAACTCCTCCTGCCTGTCCTCAAGGACGTCCGTACTAAGGGCACACTCACCCCTGACGAACGGAGGACAGACAAACTCAGACTCAGGAACAAGACTAGCAGCGTAGTCTAGACGACAACGAGCAGCAACGTCGACAAGCTTAGCAACAAGAGCACACGCAGTAGTAGACTCAAAGGAAGGGTCAGTGACAACAGTGGCTAGGAGATGCGTGACAGTAGGACTAGCAGCACGAAGGGAGTCAGACTCTTGGTCTGGGCCGACAGGAAGAGAGGGCGCAGGAGGAGACGGCAGAGGGACACGCTGCAGAGCAGTGGAAGGACGCAGAGCAATCTGGTGCGTGCCAGGGACAGAAGTAGGACGCTGACGCGAACCACGAAGACTAGTGCGAGCAGCACGAACAGGCGACGCAGGACGAGATGCAGGCTCATGACGTTCAGCAAGACCTCTGGTCGGACCAGTGTAAGGAGAAGGAGCAGGCAGTGGGGAGGCAGGGTGTAGCTGGGACTGCGACTGGACACGCGGTGGACACTCTAAGGAAGGAGCAGGACCAGTAGAAGGCGGGAGACCAAGAACCTGCTCAAGGAGCGGAACGAAGTATGGCCGCGGCCGCGCAGTGCCTCCAGAACTAGTAGGGACAGCACCAGCACCCCCAGCATCAGCTCCAACTCCAGCACTACCAGCTCCAGCAGCATCTCCAGCAGCTCCAGTAGCGCCAACGCCAGCACCCCAAGGAGCACCGTCTCCAGCAGCACCTCCAGCTCTAGCACCTTCAGTAGCTCCAGACCCAGGAGGACCACCAGAAGCCCCAGCAGCTCCACATCCAGTAGCACCACCTGGCCCAGCAGCTCCAGTACCTCCAGCACAAGCACCTCCGGGACCAGTGGCTCCAGCACCCCCAGCAGCTCTAGCAGCAGCAGGACCTCCAGCACCCGTAGCACCACCAGCTCCAGCAGCACAGCTACAGTGCCGAGCCAACCACTCGCGCAGCTGCTGTGGAGAGAGTGGCTCCCGCCAGGATGAAGCATCCGAAGGACCTCCATGCTCAGCACCTCCTGACTCCACACGTGTAGGCTCAGCACCTTCTGCCTCTACACCCCCAGACTCAGCAACCCCGGGCACAGCAACCCAAGGCTCAGCACCCCCAGGCTCCGCACCCCAAAACTCAGCAACCCCGTGCTTAGTACCCCCAGGCTCAGCACCCCCAGTCTCAGCACCCCCAGGCTCCGCACGCTCAGGCTCAACACCCCCAGACCCGGCACCCGCAAGCTCAGCACCCCTAGCAGCACCAGAGTCAACAGCTACCTCGACAGGCTCGAGTGTGTCTACCTGGGACACACGTGAGGGGGCAGGACCCTGAGGGGGCAGGACCCTGAGGGGGGAGGGAGTCTATCGGGGGAGGACCTGGCTTGAGGAAGAGCGGCAGGGGGGGGAGGGGGGTAGTGTGGTAGGGAAAGAGACGGTAGTAAGGAACCGACTCTTCAAACTTGACGTCTTGAGGGGACAGAACACGACGCGAGGTGGGGTGGTAAAACTGCCAACTAGGCGCGTCAGGGGGGAAGCCAGGGAAGACGCAGGGAACTGCACGGGAGGACAGCTTGTCCGCAGACAAGTCGCGGACAAAAGCTCGGGATCCCCAGACACGGAACGCGGATGCATCGCCAACCTTCCCCGTCGATCGCAGAGTAGGTGTGATCACCGGCATGGAGACCCGGGGCTGGAGGTTGAGCTGACGCGCAGCGTACTAAACTGCGAACGGCCACTGAAATTGGGGAGCAGCCGTATGGATCATGGACGTACGAGCGACGTCCATGACCATTCCAATGCGGCGCTGAGCAATCTCATTGTGAGAGTACGACGTCTTATGCCAGCTATGCTTGCTTGCCTTTACTTTATCATGCTATTTCTAGCATAGGATAATTATATGCATGCATGAATTGCTTGATTTCCTAGTCTAGGTGCTTTCCTATATTTTATTATAGTTATAGCACCGAGCTAGGTTGCGTGCACCGAATTCTGGCTTTTCGGTTGCCACCGAATCGCCTTCTACCAAATTCGGTAAGGATCCGTTCGGGACGCTACACGGCCCGCGGAACCTTCGCGTAACACCTGGTTACGGGGCCTTGTGGCGAGCCTATATATAGCCTCGTGTGGTACCCAGGTGGACATTCAATTCAATTCAATTCGACTCAATTCTCATTCTCTTTTCTGAACTCGATCCTAGATCCTCACACTTGGTAATCAGAGCCCGTTTACACGTAGGTAAGCAGGCAGGTAGGTGAGCCAGCGAATCTCCTGTGCAGCCATGGCCCCGGCGTAGATCGCAGCCTCACAACTGGAGCTAAGAACAGAAGACGAGCGAGTAGCCCGCCACGAAACAGAGCCGGAGCCAAGGCTGAAGGTGTAACCCTGTGACGACCGCTGCGTAGCCTGGTCGTCAGCCCAAGACGCGTCCGCGTGCCCAGTGAGGACCACTGGACTCCGCCCTCCAAGCACTAGCCCCATGCCCGACGTACTGCACAAGTAGCGCAACACCCTCTTCGCTGCAGCCATGTGCTCTGGTCGGTGTCTCCCAGGAGCAACATAGCGTGCGAGAATGCTAAGAGGGTATGCAAGGTCAGGTCGTGTGCAGGTCATCAGGTACATGAGGCAGCCAACAAGCTCTGGGTATGGGCCACTCGACTCTACGGACTCATCCGAAGGCAGAGCTGAGAGCGAGTGGCGAGTAGACAGAGGAGTGGCCAGCGGCGAGGAGTACGTGAAGCCGAAGCGCTGAAGGACCTGCTGCACCATGTGTGACTAAGTAAGGGTAATGGTGCGGCGTGCTCTGTCCCGGGTGATCTGCAAGCCAAGGTAGCTGCGCAGTTCACCCAGGTCTGTGCACGTGTGTCTCTTCTGCAGTTCGGACTTCACGTAGGCGAGTCCAGCAGTGTCAGCTGTGGCAAAGACCAAGTCGTCGACGTACACGAGGATGTAGAACGGCGGCAGAGAGGTGTCGGTGCGCAGAAACAGCGACGGGTCGGCAGTAGAAGGAGCAAACCCAAGAGCCGGAGTGTCCTCAGTGTGTCGTGCCACTCAAGTGGCGCTTGGCGGAGACCGTAGACAGGACGCCTGTACTCCCCCATCCTGTAGGTCAGCACCACTCACCAGGTTTGTCGAGAACGAGGGGAGGTAGAGACCAGACAGGGTGCCAAAGGGAGCCGCCGGACACGGGAGGACTGTGGAGAAGCGAGACAGTACAGGACCCCCGGAGGGGTCAGCCAGAGACACCGCAACCGGCCGACTAAGCGGCGTGAGTATGGTGCGGTCCCGAAAGAAGGAGCGAGACGCCCCAGAGTCAAGAGTGAAGGTGAGGGAGGCCGAAGCCGACGTAGTACCTGAGAGCGCAGACTCACCAGTACCTGAGGACGCAGACACACTAGCACCTAGACCAGCAGCGTCGCAAGCACCTAGGGCAGCAGCCTCAATGCCCGGATCAGGCGGGAAACAGCGGTAGCAGTCACCCTCATCACTATGAGACACAGCATACATGGCAGAGAGAATAGCATCAAAGTCAAGATCAAAGATGGCAACACCCGCCCTAGACAGCTCGTCCCAGCGAGGAATCTCTGAGGCCTCCGGGAACTGGTGACGCCACGCGTACGTCAGGCGGCCAAAGCAGCGCTGGGTGGGGTGCGCACCCCCACACTGCTCACCCGCACGGTCGCCGGTGCGCAGGACGTAGGTGCACGGACCAAAACCCCCACCCCGCTGGCGTGCAGTGTACCACTCACGGAGCTGCTGAGGGGACAGGGTCTCACGACCGCGCTGCTGCTGCTGGCGAGCGCCACTACCGGAGCCACTCCTCTGCGAAGGACCGCGACCAGCTCCACCGCCACCCCCACCGCCTCCGCCGCCTCCGCTACTGCCGCTGCCTCCACCGCCGCCTCCACTGCCGCCTCCACCGCCGCCTCCTCCGCCACCTCCGCTCCCACCGCCACCGTCGCCGCCGCCTCCGCCTCCACCGCCGCCACCAACCCCCCCACCCGCACCTCCACTCCCACCGCCACCCCCACTACCCCCACCGCCTCCACCTCCACCTCCACCGCCCGCTCCTCGAGCTCCCTTGCCCCCCTTGCCCTTGCCAGGGCGGCGTCTCCCGCTAGGGGCAGACGCCGCACCGACCGACTCAAGACCAAGGAGGTCGGCCGTAGCAGCAGAGGCAACAGAGGGCAGCAGGGGGGAGGGGGAACACCCCTCAAAGATGGGGGTGCGCAGGTCACCTCGAGAGGCTTTTACAGCGACTATACTCTTCTCCGCTGCTAAGAGGGCCTTCTCGAGGAGATCGACAGTGAGTGTGGTGGGACAGACTGAGAGAAAGTGGTCCCTGACTACTCGAAGGGAGTCAGGAAGGCGAGTGACTAGGAAGTATAGAGTGATGTACATGGGGGGGGGGGGGGTTCTTGGCGCAGAAGTCAGCAGGGAGTGCAGCGCGGTAACGAGTGTCACTAGTGCGGAGGTGCGTGATGAGGTCAGCCACGGTGGGAAAGGCAGCAAGGACAGGGAAGAGGTACGGTAGCATGAGACGGCTCAGTGCAGCAGTGGCAGGGGAGGGGTAGCGTGCGACTACAGCGTCGTACAAGGTCTGAGCACTCTTGTACTGACTAAAGTGTGCACGCTCGGAGGTAGGGAGGTGGCGACGCACAGCAAGACGTGCAGCAGCGTCGCGCGTGGCCCACTGGGAGCGAACAGTGGCGTCAGCATCAGCAGCAGGGGCTGGGGAAGCGCCAGAGGTAAGGTCAAAGAGAGAGAGGCCGTCTGCTCTATCGCACTGTAAGAACAGCTGCAGGTCGTCTACCCAGACTTCAAAGTCAATGGCCCGACCCTCAGCGTCAAAAGCGAGGACACTAGGGGTAGCCATGACGACAGTAGCCTAGCAGTACTACGTGTAGGACAGGGGCAGTGCAGTGACAGGAGCGCTGCTCTCACCAGACAGGGCAGGTCGGGCAGCTCAGCAGCACAGCAACGCGGCTGCTCGGACGGCTCAGCAGCAACTGCGGTTCGGGCGGCTCGGCTCCACAGCGGCTCAGGCGGCTTGGGCGGCTCGGGCGGGTCGGGCGGCTCGGCTCCTCAGCGGCTCAGGGGGCTCGGGCGACTCGGGCGGCTGGGGCGGCTTGGGCGGGGCGGGCGGCTCGGCTCCTCAGCAGCTCAGGCGGCTTGGGCGGCTCGGGCAGGTCGGGCGGCTCGGGCGGCTCGGGCGGCTCGGGCGGGTCGGGCAGCTCGGGTGGCGCGGGCGGTGTAGGGCCGTAGGGCCGCTGGTAGGGCTCGGGGCCGCAGCGAGAGGGGCGGCGGGGCCGCAGAGACGGGCGGCGGGGCCGCAGAGACGGGCGGCGGGGCCGAAGTGAGAGGTGGCGGGGCCGCGAAGAAGGGCGTCGGGGCCGCTGAGACGGGCGGCGGGGCCGCAGAGAGAGGCGGCGGGGCCGCAGCGAGAGAGGCGGCGGGGCCGCGAAGACGGGCGGCGGGGCCGCTGAGACGCGCGGCGGGGCTGCAGGGAGAGGCGGCGGGGCCGCAGCTAGAGAGGCGGCGGGGCCGCGGAGACGGGCGGCGGGGCCGCAGAGACGGGCGGCGGGGCCGAAGTGAGGGGCGGCGGGGCCGTAGCGAGAGAGGCGGCGGGGCCGCGAAGACGGGCGGCGGGGCCGCTGAGACGGGCGGCGGGGCCGCAGTGAGAGGCGGCGGGGCCGCAGCGAGAGAGGCGGCGGGGCCGCGAAGACGGGCGGCGGGGCCGCTGCGACGGGTGGCGGGGCCGCCGTGAAGGGCGGCGGGGCCGCAACGAGAGAGGCGGCGGGGCCGTAGAAAAGGGCGGCGAGGCCGCAGAGACAGGCGGCGGGGCCGCAGTGAAGGGCCGCTAGGGCGGCTCGACGAAGTGAGGGCCCGGAGCGCGACTCGGGTTGAGCGCGCTTCGGGCAGAAAAAAAAAAAAAAAAACTCGATGTGGTGGGCCCTAAGCACAGTTCCCAAGGGGGAACCTGCTCGATACCATGAGAAGATTAGAACGAGAATGGTGAACTATGAAACGAAGTGAGTACAAATATGAAACCCTAATTGGTTGTACCCCTTATGGGATACCCCACTATAGCCTACACAACAGCATAAGCTATAATGTTCTGACACGAAGTTCTTTCGACCGCTAAATAACCAGTCTTCAAAAACCACGGGGGCGACGCAGTCAAACATCGATTTCGGGTACGCAAAACCGGTTCCGTGTTTTTCGTTCCCCCTCGATTCGATTTTTCGGACGCGTTGATGTCAGGCATGGAGGGCCAAGGCGACAACTACGCGACTACGAGCGACATCGCGAGCCTCCGCACCGACATGGAGCAGACGCAGGCGACGCTTCGTCGACTCAGTCTTTTCTGACAAGCCAACCAGGGTTCGCCACCGCAGCAGCAGCGACCATAGCGACTGCAGCACCGACAACTCCAGCAGCAGTGGCAACACCGACATTTCACGGACCAATGGCACCACTGTCGCCGAACCTCGAAGCAGCACGACCGAGGCTCCCGGAGGCGTTCGATCCACGCGCGAAGGGATCCGACGTCCGGCGATTCGTGGCCACCCTCGAAATTTACTTCGAGGCCATTGGCAGTTCGACCCCGCAACACGACGCAGCAAGGATTCGGCTCGCAGCGACACTGTTACGTGGACCGGCTCTCGAATGGATTTACTA